CGGCTGGGATTCGAACCCACAACCTTCATGCTTTCAGGCAACAGCGCCACCAGCTGCGCAGCCTTCTCCTCAAACATCGTGTAATGTTAAGCGTTCACACTGTTGATAAGTGCGTGCTTGTACAGAAACAGATTACCATGGTAACAACATCATCAAAGGTTTCTGAGCGTTCATTAAACAGAAATATCAAGATAATAAAAGACGTGTGAGGTGCAGGTGCAACACACATTCGAGCTGTTTGGTTAAATTCTTTTCCTCAAATACAATTAAAACTGAAGCTCGTCATCCCTCGGCTGACCTTCTGGCAATCAGAGACAGGGAAATGTGCCTGGTTTGACCAGTTTTGCTTTCAGCTGCTTCAGTCGGGTGGGATTTGTTGTCAAAAACGTGAAAGAATGAATCCATCCAGATGTGAATCAGCAGTTTAGGCTGATGGAGGTGTTCGCGGCCCACTTTGGACCCCAGAGCCTGGTCTAAACCACACCTGAATATCATTGCTGACCATGCCCATCCCTTTATGACCACATTGACCCATCTCCTGTTGGCTACTACCAGCAGGATCATGAACAACGTCACAAAGCTCAGACCATCTCTTACTGGTTTCTGGACCATGAGTTCACCAAATGGCAAAGCTCTCAATTTACCAGCTGATCTATGTTCCTACCCTCACCCATGGTCGCGAGCTCTGGGTAGTGACCTATAGAACACTGCAGATACAAACGGCCAAAATGAGTTTCCTCCGCAGGGCTCTCCCTTAAAAACAGGGTGAGAAGCTCAGTCATCTGGGAGGGGCTTGGAGTAGATCCTCCACATCGAGGGGAGCCAGTAGAGGTAGCTCAAGCATCTGGTTAGGATGCCTCCTCCTCCCTGGTGAGGTTTTCCAGGCATGTCCAACCAGAGGAGACGCAAGGGAAGACCCAGGACACACTGGAGGGACTATGTTTTCTCGGCTGGTCTGGGAACGCCTTGGGATTCCACCGGAGGAGCTGGCCCAAGTGGCTGGAAAGACGGAAGTCTGGGCCTCCCTGCTTGGGCTGCTGCCCCCGCGACCCGACTCCGGATAAACGAACAATAATGGATGGATGTATGGATAGATGTTCGCTGTACTCCATTGGTGTCAACATGGGACAAAAAACTCGGTGAGGTGTTTCCAACACACTTAAGTCCTTGTCGAGTGCATTTGTGTAACATCTGATGAAAACTTGTTAAAGGAAAATTGTGAATATTAATATTTAATCTGCACAGTTCAGAAGTCTGTAATCTAAGACCTTGTTCTTCTCTTTAAATCAAACTAAACTCTTCTCTGGTTTGTACAGATGGTTTGGTGAGACATGAAAACTGTCCTTCGACTAATAACGGCTTTTAACTGGAACAACTGCAGGGGTGTCTCCGTGTACGTATTAAACATCCCTTTCAAGAAGAACGCTGCTGTGGTGCTAAAACACTGACTTTGGTCTGTCGTCCCAGCGGTGATTACAAACACCCTTAACCGTTCAAAGTCAAAGATGTGTGTAAGTCCATCAAACACAAACCCGCTAAGACCCGCAGTCCCACAAAGAAAAAAATCAACAACTGGCAAGCCACCAAGACACTCAGCAGAGCCAATCTCCTCCTCACATAGCAGACTGTGAATTCCCAGTTTGCTTTGCAACAACAATGAGGCGTGTGTGAGGATAAAAAACCCACAGCAATCACTAAATGCAGGCACAAGTGCCACCAAACTAAATGCTTCAATGAGCT